AACATACTTCCGATACTGCCCCCACCCCACACACTGGAAGTCATAATTACCACTCACCTTTCCCTTTGTCGGCGGGAATCGCTTTAAGCAGTCCCAGCGAGTCAACCTACTTTGGGGATGCGCTTTGCATTTTTCATTGCCCCTCAACCCTCCCCAGACCTATATGTCAAGGAATAGGGAGTTGAGACATGACACATTAATGTTTTTATCAGGGGACGCTCTCGGCTCCCACAGAAAGGGAGGGAGACTGGGAGGAGGGGGCGGCCAAGAAAGAGAGGGAAGGCATCACTCCGCAGCTCCTGCGGAAATTCATATTCCGCGTATGTTCCTCGCACCTGAAATAAATCCTGCAGGCCTACCCACACAAACGCCGAGGCACTTATTTATTTGCATGTCATGCTTATAATATGGGAGAAAGCAAGACGGATCTTCGAGGAGGGGAGGTGAGGCTCACCTTTCAGACTCGCTCCCTTAAATAAAAAAGAATTGTCCGGCTGGGCGCCTAAGAATTTATCTTGAGTTTGTGGTCATTATCTCTATTATATAGCCCTGGCAATAAATAAATCGGGTAGTTACTACCCAACAATAAAACTGTAGTGGATGGGACACCTTACTATTACTTTCTTAATAATCTGCCGTTTCTTTCACTTTAAATCTTCCCCGCCTTGTCTTCCCACTTGTCTACAAGGATCTATCTTCACCCCTTGAGGTACCAGATTGCTCGGTTCATTTTTATATTTTGTGAACACGATAAGTTTTCCTGTCTAGACTTTCTGGTTTTCCTCCTATTTCTAGTCTGCCTAATCTGCTTCAAGACAAAGGGTCGGCCCGGATCAAATGTCTTTCCCCCCTCCCTCTCTAGTTTCACCGCCAGTGCGTCTACTTTAAGGAAGATCGGCCCCCTGGAGGCAGCCACCCTTGGGGTCTCTAGGAGAAAGGGAGCAATGCAGGCCGGGGAGGGGGAGGGGGATGCGCCCCAGGGAAGATGGTCTGAGCTCCCGCAGTGGGCACGCCCTTGGGTGCGCACCGAGTCCAAAGGCCGAGCAGGAGAGAACTCTTGTCTGGAATAGTCCTCCCACCCACGGCCCCCACCCGGATTCTTGCTGGTGTGCGCGCCCACGCAGGGATTTCGGGGGTGGGCGTCCTCCGACTGTCCCCGGCTAGCCCCTCCGCCTGGGCACAGCGCGCCACATGCGGACGCGAGCACGAGCAGCCTGGACCCGCTGGAGAAGTCGGTCCCCGCTCCTCTACCGGCTCCTCTGAGTCCACGGGCATTAAAACCCCACCAAGGGGGCTCGGCCCGGCGGCGCGGGCGCGGGGTAGGGGCGCCCCTCTCGGATGCCCAGACGCGCGGCTGGCGGGAGAGGAGCGCACACACCCACCCAACCTCGTCTCACACCTGGGGCTTGCCTCCTCCGCGACAGCGAGGTGCGCGGCTCCCACCCCGACCCCGACCCCCAGCCAGGCCCGAGGAGCAATCCGTTCCGTGCCAGAGCCTTCCAGAGCCCCAGGGGCCCTCAACCCTGCTGGGAGGATGCGCCCAGCCCACGTCCGGCCGGCCGGCGCCTTCCAAAACCACCGCCACCCTTGCTTTCACGCCAGCGCGAAAAGTGACGCGTCCGAGCAAAGCGGTCAGCAAATGACCGTCTTATCCGCGGAGCCGGGGAAATCCGGGGAGGGAGTGTGGGAGGGCTGGGGGAGAAAGGGGCAAAGGGGCAGTAGTAAGCCGGGGAAAGAAAACAAACAGTCCCGCGTCGCTTCCCCTTTTGTCTTTATGCTGCTTGTCTCCAGAAATCAACTTAAGCGCCGCAAGCCCCCACCAGGCTTGTTTTTGTTTGTGTGACTTAGATCACAGATAGAACTCACGACCTAATCTCTGAGTGTGTGTGAGAGAGAAAGAAGCCACGGCCGGGCTACTGATGGTTGAAGGGACGATGAACTTCTCACCTTTCTTAAACTCGCGAACAACACGTCCTTTAAAAAAATCCACGCCGCCGTGGGTGTGTGTTTCGCTGTTAATTGCGTTTTCCTGGGATGATCTTTTACGACTGGAAAACAAGCGGCTGGGAAAATATTCACGTTTGGGACAGAAAACATTTTTTATTTATATCTTTGACATTTAAAAGAGCAGAATTAATTTGTCCTGTCTACATTAGCATTGAGAGAAAGTTTCAGAAATCTACCCAGGGGGAAGAGGAGGGGGAGGAGAAAAAAGAAAGCGAATAAAAGAAAGGAAAAAGAAAAGCTAGCCTTGGTTTTTCTTATTTCAGATCTGTAATCAATCATTGAAATAGGAGGCAGCAAAATTGTAAAGATTCGATAGATTAAAATGCAAATGAAAGGTAGAAAAAGAAACATTAACATGGCGATCAAAGATTTAATAACCGTAAATCAAGTGTTTTTTTTCTGTTGCAGCTGCAGTTTGTGTGTGTTTATGTTTTAATCATGTTCGTTCCATAAATAAATAATATCTGAAACGAGACTAATTTTTCATTATTTTAACCGTGGGCTATAACACTAAATATTAAAAACAGAAAACATACAGGATGCCAGATTCCCAGCCAAAGAAGAGAAAGACTTGTGTTGATTGGTTAAAATCAAGGGGTTTCATTTGTGTGTTTTGAAAATCAGAGTATCATGCTAAAAAATTCTATCTCAACTGACAAAGCCCAAAGTTTTATTTCCCCTTTAATATTTTATGTTAACAACAAGACACCATTTATGTTAAATATATGCGTGGCTGCGTATCCATTTCAGTTTGAGTATTTTCAAAGAACGAAAGTGCCAGAATATTTAAATAATACAAAAATATATATTATTTCATAGTGATTTGACAGGATTCCTGGAAAATAATACTTTTTAAGGAGAATTTGCCTTCTAGAGAAAAATTAAGTGATAGTCCGACAGTTAAAACTTTTTTTTAGCTTTATTATTAAAGTTCTTTTTCTGAAGGGGAGTATTTTTGTCCTTTTTTTTTTTTTTTTTTTTTTGCTACCATTCGATTTAAGGCTTTATGTCAAGGTGTCAAATTATGGGGACACACCATTTTATTTAACTAGTACTCATTTTCTCATATGGTGAAGGCTTTTCATTTACCTCTTTTTTATTTAAAATAATGATTTATGCTGTTCAGAAATTATTTCTGGAACTTTAAAAATAAACACCTGGTCTTTGTCTTTTCTTTTCTTTTCTTTCTTTTCTTTTTTCTTCCTGTTTTTGGTAGCCTTATTATCATGGGGGAATTCATCTTCAGAAAACTGGAAACTTTTCTTTTTGATAATACAGACTCGCAATGTTTAAAATAAGCTCTCTGCTTCATTTTGTCTTTGAAGGAGTTATTCACCCTAATTTATTGAGATGATGAATTAGAATTGTCTCCATTTCTCCTTTCCACAAATTAAAATGATAATCAAACCTGGGATACTTGTTTCCTTTATAAAACCTTTGAGTTAAATGTGAGCTAAGTTGATGTCCACTCCCTCTGTCCCAGCTACACAAGCACAGTTTTCACTGTGACAGTCCAATAATGCATTTAGTTTAAAATTACACTTGGACTTTCCTCCTTTGTATTTTTTCATTTACTTCAGTGCAACAAGATGACTTGATTTTCTTGGGATTACATGGACTCCATTCAGTGTTACTGGATTACATTTCTGCTCAACTAAATACTTGCCTTAATAGACAAATGAACTTCTTTTTATTTGCTGGAGTTTGTAGACGGTTTTAGATACAGAGCGTGCAACTGATTTAGTTATTGTTGTTGTGAGAATCGAACAGGCACAAAAGTCATTTATCTAAACCGAAGAGATATGACTCTGTAAAAGGGAGAAGCAAGGGCAGAATCATGGGGAATTATTTCAGTTTATGACTCTTATTAATTACACCGGATGTGGTTTTATTCTGATCTTTTAGTATCGACCTGCTTAAATACCCTCAGGTACCTTTCCCCCTCACCCCAATGTTTTCATTCACTAGATAACTTGGGCCCCTTGTTGATGCGGGTTGCTTTCTCTACATTATGTCACTAAGCGGTGGCGGTGTAAAATCGCGTGCATCTTTAGACGATTGCACCCACCCCCGGAAAAAAGGGCCGGGGTGAGGGGGGAGAAATGCTTTTCTCATTCAGTGTTAGCATCTTGTTTCGTTGAAATGCAAGACAGGTACTTGATTTAGCATTTAAGCAAAAGGTTACACAAACCGCGTTTTAAAAAGTGTTGGGATGTCCGACAGGGTCAGCCCCAGATCAGATCATTTTTTGAATGCAGACCTAAAGATAATGAGTACTTGTTGTATTAAAGGGGACAAACAGTACTTTGGCTTCCTCTGACCCCAGAATGCACGGCTCGGTTTCATTGATCATCCTCCTTTATGAGATAATGCAATTACAAACATCAATAAGGGCTGCAAGGGGAATCATTATGCGGTGACAGTGATAAATGACGGTGCAGAAATAGCATGCTTTTCCCCCCTAACAATCCAGGAGCCCAGGGGCTCCGGGGGCTGAACACAGTCGCCAAGGAAACAGATGACATCCCAAACGGCACCAAAGGAAAAAAAAATGAACAGTCTTTCTTTTCCTTTCACTCTTTTCCGTTTTCCAAAGAGTTAGTTTTGGCTCAAGTAGCAGCTGCCACACAGGCATTTCGTTATTTCAGACATTAAAGACTGGAGCGGGCGGTGGAGTCTCCGTCTCTTCCACCCCCACCCCCACGAGATAACGCACAAAGCTCGCTGTTCACAGTTTAGGACTACCTGAAAATGCCCGTCTTGAAAATCAGATTGGGGTTGGGGGGGTGCAAGAACGTGGGCTTACACAGCCATGGCGTTGTGTTTCCCCCGTTTTCACGATGGTCCCGTGGAAACTGAGTCTCCAGAAAAAGCTGGCGCCTCGTGGGTCGGCCAGTAAGGACGGGGGCGCGTGGCTCGCCTCCATCTCCCTGCGATGCCAGACGCTGTTCGATGCCAAGGCGGGGGAGGGTATTGGGGGGGAGTGGGAATGGGGAGTAGGCGGCTGCGAGGGGTGTTTGCCGCTTCACTGCCTTTCTTTGAGAAAGAATCGTCAATGGGCGCAGGGATCTCCCCTAGATCGAGGAATCAGGTTGTTTAAAGCCCCAGGGTGCCCTCAGCAAGTGGATTCAGGAGGGCTTTGCTGAGCGATCCCTATTCACCCACGTCCAGGCTGGCGGGTGAAGTAAGCAGGCGCGAAAAGGCTACGGGTTACCGGGACTGTGTGCTGGACCTGCAGCTGCGGGGAGAAGGGGGGGGTGCCTGGGGACACTTGGAAGGGAAGGGGAACTGGCCACTTTGGGGGACAGGAGGAAGAGAGCGCGGAGATGCGAGGGGGGCCCCAAGAAGAAAATACAAGGGAGGGAAGGAAGAAAGCGAGCGCCATCCCACCCTTCGAGAAGGTCGCCAACCCGAAGAAAGCAGACGTAGGGTTCTTGACCCCTGCGGGAAACGCCCCGGCGTGGAGTGCAGGACCCCTGCGGAGCTCGTCCTGCCACTCAAGGCCCCCGACCTGAGGAGCCAGCCGGGCGGGTGCGGGAGCAGGTGACTTTATTCACCGCTTCCCCAATTCGCGAGGTCCCGGGACTCGTTTTCCGCCTGGAGATTAAGATCATCGCTCGCGTAATGAACTTAATGCTTTAGGGTAGAGGTGAGTGTGTCTGCGAGTGGGCAGGGGTAGGAATTACCGACCCGATCGATGGGAGACTGGCTTAAAACTAAATCCCTTTTCTCCAGGGCTTCAGCGCCTGGATTTCCCCGCGGTGGGCTGAGCGCGCCGGGCCGGCAGGAGGCAGCGCGCGGAGGGGGCGACCTCGGGGCGCGGCCCGCCAGAATTAAGATTCTATAAGGTCCCTCATCTCCCCATCGAGACCCTCGGGATACCGGCTTTGAGGGCAAAGACTCTTAAATGATCAAATGTTGGCGAACTGATTGCTCAATACGTTGTTTGTTTTTCCATCCAGCTCCGCCTCGGGAGAGGATGTTACAGACGCATTGGCAGGCAGATTGGGCCAAGATGAGACATACCTTCCCCCACCCCGTCATCAGCGCCTCTAAGTGCGAGTTCCCATTCTCTCTCCCTCACCGCTCTGTCCTGAGCCATGGGATTCCCAACCTCGTGTCGACTCTGCACCTGGCCACCCCGAGTGTTACGGGCTGCCCGACAGTCAAGTGGCTGCGGGTTGGCACGAGGGAGTGAGACGAGGTGAAATGCCCGACCAGGCAGGGCGCCCCACGACCCTCTTTGACGTCACTCCACCCGGCGTCCAAGCGCGTACCCAAGAGCTCTGCATCGTCTTGTTTTTACTGCCTTCACGTGGGCCGAGGGCCTGCTGGGATCCGAAAGGCAGAGGAAAGTTTGCAAAGGCTTTAAAGTGATCCCGAGGACCTCCTGCCTAAGGCTTCGGGGTGCTGCCCATGGCTCCCTCGCTGCGCCTGGTGGCCGCTGCCCACCTCCCAAGTGCCCCCGGGCCCCAAGCTCTCGCAGTCCCGCTCCTGGAGTCGCGTTGGGACTCGGAAGCTGAATCCATCAAGAAGCCTTTAGTCCACCACAAAGCACCCCTAGCGGAGCGGTTCCGAGGGGTGGGGGCCCGGAGTCTTCCAGGAGGTGCTCTCCACGACCTTCTGCGCAGACCTGGGGATGCCTCGTCTCCGGGGACGAAGTCGGCAGCCCCCTTAGACCTGACTTTCACGTTGAGGTGGGGAGGAGGTAGGAGGCTAGTTAAGGTGCTGCAGCCGCTCCCCACCCCCAAGGTGCTCTGGACTCAGAGCAGAGACCTGTCCACCCTGCACCCGCCCGGCCTAGAGCCCGAGGTTAGGACGCAGGGACAGCCGCATCCTGGCCCGGATCCTCGCAGCTGCCGCGCTGACCGCGTAATCTTCCGTCGGCGCAAGGAGATCAGCCCAGACCCAGGCCACTGGCATTGCTCCTCCCGCCCCCGCCGCAGACTCGGGAGGCGCTGCACACAGAGATGAACCCGGAGCGCAAAGTCTGCGCGCCGCGTGGGAGACGCGGGCGGGAGGGGGCAAGCGGTTACAGTATTTCTGCTTTTCAGAACCTTTAGACTTCACTACAAAGTTTCCCGGTAGGCGCCTCGGCCCCGGGGTCGGTGCCTCCCACCGCCGCTCCTTCCTCTCCCTCCTCCCGGCCCCAGCGAGCCGAGCGAGCCGGAGCCTTCTCCCGGGCCAAGCCGCCGCTCATTCTCCACCCCCCGGGCGGGTCCACGGCGCCCAGAGCGCGGCCCTCCCCGCCTTATCCCCGGGCTCCGCGGGGGTGCCTCTTCCCGGGGCGAAGCTCGCTGGCCGGGCGCACAAGAAGAAGACACCCGCTGCCTCCCGAGGAACTCCTAATACCATCCATACAGCTTTAATGCGTTTATAATTCGATAAGTGATTTCAATTTGAAATTGTTAGTAACTAATTTTATGGGTAATTTTTCCACATCAAATATTTAAGCATCAGATTAAGGGAGCCAGTTCCGACACAGGATAATAAGGGGGTTCCCCCCCACCCCCCCGTGCCCCCGCCTCCTTCAGATTCCTACCGAGTCGTTTTTCCAAATCCCCAAAAGATGGCAGTCGAAGCCGACGTTCTTCTTTTCCTGCGGCTCTGCGAAGGGAGGGGGAGAAAGAGCGGAGAGGGAGGAAAGGAGAGAGGTGGGGGGAGGGAGAGGGAGAAGGAAAGAGAGACAGAGGGACAGAGAGAGAAAGGAGAGGGAGAAACTAGACGTTGCACGGACTTTTCAAAGTGGCTCTTTCACACGTTTTCTAATACAGGCAAGAAGCAGTGGTGAATTTCCTGGAAATGTCCTGGCTGAAAAGAAAGCCAAAAACGTGCCTTGTGGGCTCAGAGTAAAGGATGTGAGAAACTCAGCACTTTCAAACTAAATCCTCAATTCAGAGCAGAAGCGGGAGAAGGGAGACTGGGAGAGAGACAGGCTGGCTTTTTGGTATTTCTTTGTATTTAACAATGTATACAAATACTATTAAACTAAGCAACTTGTTTCCTCCACAGGACTCTGCAAATTACCTAATTGGGGGAGGGGGAAGTGGGGTGAGGAAAGGTGATGGGTGGGGGGCGGACTGCTGTGGGCGGAGGGGAGGCTGGGGCCAGAATCGGATGAATTGCAGACCAGTTGCCAAAACTTTTTTTTTCCTGCTGCTGCTGCTGCTGCTGCTGCTGCCTTTGCTGCTGCCTTTGCTTTGAATGTGGGTAACTAGGAAACAGCAAGCCGTCTGAGAAGACGGAATTTCCAACGTGTAAAATGTTCTTAACGGAACCATTGAGCGAGTGCAATAAGGCGTGAGGGGGAACTAATCTTCCCATTTAAATGTTTGTGGCAATTTTATCTAAATGAATTTTAATGCTAAACGAGGGTAATTCCCCATTTGTAGCGCGTTTACTTCTCTTTCCTGTGCTTCTAAAGCAGTCGAACATCATGCAATGAACAATAACAATAAAAATACTGTCAAGGCATATTATTCATTTCGAATGTGTTATAATTACAGCTGATTAAATATGATAGGGGATTTTTTTTAATTTTCGGAAAAATATTTAAATCATGCCAAAAAGTCGTCTCATTCAACCAGCAGGCCCCCTCCCCCAAATAAAAATAAAAAGCAGGTACAATTGTGTGCTCTTGTTTAGAAGAGGGCGTTTTGTTTTTGCCTTTTAAGAAACATCAAAAACACTCTCAGCACCTCTATTATTTCCCTCTTTCGGTTAAGTGTCCTCAATAACCTCTGAGCTGGCTCTGAAATTTACAAGAGGAAAAGCTAAAACAGCATTGAGGGGGAGGTGGGGGTGTCCAGCGGGGGGAGGAAGGACCTGCCGACAGCAAGGCTCTCACAAAACCGGCACACGGAGCGGGGAACGCAGGCAGAGAACATCGTTTTATTTTTTCTCATTCACTGAACACTAATGATCGTGATTCTTCATAGCTTCCATATTCCCTAATACTTCTTCACTTGTACCCTGTTCCTTCCCCTAGTGCCTACCCTACCCCACCCCCCGCGCCCGCCCGCCCTCCCTCCTCCCCTTTCTTTCCCTCCCCCACCGGGCAAGAGCTTCCTCGGGAATAAAGGCTGAAAATAACCAACTCACCCAGGCATGTACAAAGGAGGAGGGGCAAATGGATGGTTAGTTTCTGAAGTTTATTATTAATTTTTAAAGTAAATAAACGGTTGTTAACGGCTAGTAACCACCTATCAAAGGAGAATTCTTTCACGAATATGGACTCTTTATGTAGACGAAGAATTGCCACTGGGTCCAAATGGGAAATTTAAACAATCCCATATATGGGGTGGGGGCGGGGTAGGGCGGAGGGCGCTGCGCGCGCACGGGGCTGCTGAGGTGGTGCCTCGCTCTCCTTCTCCGGGTCCACGTGTTTAGAAACCAGGCCCCATAAACAAAAGGTGAGAGAGTGCACTGCTGCTCCAGCAGGTGAGTCAGTCAATCACACGTCACCTAGTATACCCAACCCACAGCTGGTTTCTCTTTTCAAATAGAAAATAGAATCGTTCAGGGCGGGTTTATAGGGTGACACGGGCCTGAATGTCAGGCTTGAGTTTAAGGCACTCGCCTGCGACCCCTCCTTTGTTTACAAAGCAATCACTACTAAAAGCCTGTTTTTTTTTTAAGCCGAATTTGCCTTAATTAAAATATTTGTATATTTTTCCTTAGCTTTGGGAAGCACTTTTTATAGCGGCAATTTTATTTAAATAAAATTATAAGCTAGTCCAGCTTAAACATGTTATTTTGGACCATTTAGCTGGCTGCCATGCAGAAATTCTGGACAGCTGTTCTGGAAAATTGGTTAATAACCAGTTTTATCCAATGAGAACAGAGAGCATATTTATAAAAATTAGATTTTGACGTCTGGTCTCTTCAATTCCTGTCATTAATTTCCTAATAAACATATACAGCTCTTCCTAGGTAACATCCTTGGTAAAAGACTTAACTCAGGCCTTAGGTTTGCCATTATGTGCAAGAATAATTTCACTGATCTGATACTAGATGAGTAATTCGGCTGGATGTAATCAGAGTCTACAGTTTAGTACCCTTAGGCCTTAAATTTGCAGATATTAGGAGTTTAAGTCAGCTTAAAGAAATCAGTGACTATTATTAAATAATTTACTTTGTGGCTAAAATTTCCAAATACATGTATGTATGTCTTAGGGAGCTAAAATGAATTATTTCTATTTACTGCATTAATCATTAAAAAAAATTTTGGGGGGTGGCAGTAAACAAATTTTGCAAGCAGTGGAGTCAGCATGACAAAAATAATCTTGTTTTTATTTTAGATTCAGATTTCATTACTGCACTCAAACGACTACAACTGGGCTTGGCGTTATTATACAATCCAAACTGTTTCCGTCAGAAACGCTAAGACTCAGTGTGCAATGATTGTTATTAATAATTAGCTCCTTGGTTTCTTGATAGAAAAAGGCTATCCACAAGCATTTGTTTATCCACAACAAAAAGTATAATTAGCTTATCCCACTTAGTAAATCTTGTATGCATGCCAACTCATACCAAACTGCTACTTTTACAAAAAAAAAATTGCAATAATACAGTTCATTTTTCCAGTCCTTTTTGCACAAAATTTATTTACAATGTCTACATAAATGCTCCAAGGTGGGACTATGGAAAAATACACACATGACCGATGCTTTGCTCAGAAATAAAGTCAACATATTAAAAATAAATCTTCAGTCTATGTTTTTGAGCTGCATAAAACAGGAAGTGATGTATAAGGTGGTGGTTGTTGCATGGGGACAATGACGCTTGATGTGACAATTAGGCTTCTAAACACACGGCCTTTTGGTTTCCATGCCTCCTCCTACCAGTCTCCTTAAGACACTGCCTGCGACAGCTGATTAATCATTGTTCATGACTGCAGTTTTTCCCATCCTTCCCGATTTACATCTGTTCAGGCCAATTCAAATATGGTGAGTAAATGAATTAGACATGCAAATTCAAGCCCCAGGCTAGAGAGAGAGGGAGAGAGAGAGGAAAAGAGAGAGAGAGAGAGAAAGAGAGAGAGAGAGACCGCGCATGGCTGAAATCCTAGGCGAGAAGAAAGATTCTTCTGCCTGATAATTATTTTAATGCTCTAAAAATCCTGCAAACCAGACCTTCCTGTCCCTTGCAGGATAACTGTAAGGCTTTTTAATGTAAGGAGGCTTCTGGAGGAAGTGAAGAGCTATGGAAACAACACACATAGTGTGGAAAAATTTCACATTTTTCTTAAAAAATCTATAAGAAACAACGTAATATGGATAACAGTATAATAGCATTTACAATAGTTCACTCTTTGTTCTCTTAATGTCTTATATAGTTATTTAGCATGTCCCCCAGATTGACTTCAGTTGGTATTTCCTGCTTTTTAAGAGTCCCTAGGAAGAATTAGGGATGCTCCTTGGTCCAAAGTAGATGCCAAGAATGGAACTCCACAGTCATTGCCGAAAAAACATGATTTGAAATCAGTCACCATTGCAGACAATGCATATTCCCTTAAGCTACTGAGCATGAATGTCCATGACTTGTCCACTCATTGTTGGGTCTCCTGTATTAAGAACCGTGGGGCTTGATGCTGACATTGGCATTCCAGGGTGGGGCGGTCCTCCATGCATCATCACTGTTGGGTGGTGAGGGTGTCCAGGAATGTACGTGTGCATGGGGGGCCCATGACGCAGCTGAGCAGGATGGGGGGGCATCTGGGGTTGGGTATAACTTGGCTGTCCCATACTCACACCCATTGGACCACCCCGGGCTACATACTCCCCTGGCATACTTTGCAGCCCTGTAGAAATTCAAAAGAAAGAAACAAAAAAGAAAATATTATGAAAAAGCAACAGTGTGGCTCTGGCTGTGGCAATCCTAGGAAAGCCAGGGAGCATGGGGAGTAAGGGAGCATGGCTCTGTCAAGTGTTCTTTCGAGTCACATAGAAGAAAATAAAATGAGAAATGTGCCGGACACTCACATGGTGAGACTATTTTCCTTTCCTTGTCACCGTTATCGGGGCCGCCTACTGAGGTCTTACTTATTAAAAAAAAAATAAAACTGTTATTTGAGGTCTGGTCTCAAACAGCCCTTTGGTCCCCTTAAACATCCTCTATCGAGAGTACAAGGCTACACGAAACATCTCTCGTGAAACCGAATTAGACAGGCTCACGAAGGCTGATGACTTAGCAAAACCTGTTACTTTTAAAAGCAAAACAAAACAAAAGCGCCACCTCCCCCACGCGCCCCCCCCCCTCCAAACCACCACTCCCAGACAATCACAGTTATCAGTGAATTCCTCCCTCATGGTTTCTTACAGCTGGGGAAAGAAAGCCTTCACAAAACCCTGTCCACCTTACAATGATTTTGAGAACAATAAGAAAAATTGGACCTAAAACAATACCCCTCCTGCTTTGAGGGGCCTCTTGTCTTCTGCATGGATTGCTCTCGTTGATGGAAACTGACAGGTGTATTGTTTCTGAGAGCCATAGCTCTGTAATCATCAGGGGTGAGAGGCATAACGCTATTGCTAAGTAGGTTCAATTGGCTTTAGTTCTAAGTAATAGTGCGCCGTGAATACGATGAACACCTTCGAATCAGGTCTCCAGGCTCTAGCAATGAATGGCTGCTTAATCTAGCCTAAAGGAACATTTTTGAACTAATGAAAATTGCTTATAAAATATACTGTACCCACAGCTCTTTAATCAAAAAAGATGATAATATTTTTTGTAATAACCTATTAATTTAATTGGTCACGAAGCATAAAATACATCATTTAAATTTAATTGACCCAGAAACTAAGAAACAATATTTAAATTAACTAAGCTACAGAATTCCACGATGAGGTAATAAGACTGTGGCATTCCGAGCTCCGTGGAATGTTTGCAAGAGCTAATTGTTAAACTTATATTTGACTCCCACCCAGAGAAGAAGATCAGCCTGAATTACCCTTGGCTTCAGCAGTGATTCTAAATAGTGTGTTAATATAATCAGAGACACGACCAAGACTCCAACATCACTGCTTTTAATTTCAGAAACAAAGCAAGAGCAAGGCTCTTAGGGGTAATTTAGGAAGTGAACGAGAGCTTTGGTGTTCAAAACAGTTTTACTTGTTTGAACATGAATTGCTGGAGTGTCTTTTTAGGGGAGCAAATGCAAGAGCTGGAATCTGGGACAGTTTTCCTGGGCCCACTTCACTAGGCCTGCCACTGAAGATTGCATTAATGATCTCTATTTTTGTATACTGAATAAGTCAAATCCATTTGTCACACTGCAAGTGATGGCATACTTAATTTGGATATAGTCAATTAGCCCGGGCTAAGCCCTGCAGCCCGCTGTGCACACCTCTATTTTGTATTCTCCTTTTTTTCCATTGCCACACGTAATCCCATTATGATGGACAGACAAAGGAATAAACTAAGAAAAAAAAATCAAAGTTTAGTTGCCCGCAGCTCAAAATATGCCTTTACTT